TGCCTTCTGTAGATGCATATACGGAGGTTGGGTTCGAGTCCCGACCCCCTAGTGCTTGGGTTCGAGTCCCAAATCACTAGGGCGTGGTGATGGTTTGGAATATGAGGACACCCATATTTCGGTGGTCATGGACTCTTAATGAGGAGATTGGCTTGGGCACACTGCCAAACGGGGGATGCCCCAGAGTCGTGATGCACGGTTAGATTGCTTAGAGTGAGAGTTCGGCATATCTAACTTGAACACTTTGGTGCAAAGGGCACCAAGGACGTGGTGAATGAGATGGGGACACCCAGTCTCAATTGCTATGGATCCTTGGCCGGAAGGGCTGGCTTGGGCGCACTGCCAAGTGTGGGGGATGCCCCCGGGGTCATAGTCAACAACTTAAAAGGGTTTGGAAGACCTGGTTCCTACTGGTAGACCTATTGAGGGGTCAAGATGAGATCACTAAGTGATCTTGTGGCTAAACAAGGACAAGGTCTTTGTTTGGGTTAAGGGATATGATTCCTAGTTCAAAGTGTTGATTTGAACTATTGATAATGGTGTGGCTTGGTCAAGGTGACCAAGTAGGAAGAGCACCTATGGGAAATGAGCTATGTCACTGCTATGGCATAGTAAATCCGAGGAAAGTAGTCTCTATAAGAGATCCAAGGGAGGGTCTCAAAAGTTGGGCCATGGATAGAGCCCACAGCAGGAAATGTTAAAGAGACGTACTAGGGGTGAACACCCTCTAGACTTGGCAAAAGCAAAGTGTTTGCTATGGAACTGAAAGGAAACCTCGAAAATGGAGGTAGCAATCCTATGTTGCTGGGTGCAACAATCAAGGATAGGAGCAAAAGATTAGTGGCTAAGAAAAGAGCCATGGGAATCATGGGAAAAAATCCAAATGGCAAAGTTAGGCCGAGAACACTAATGTGTTGGGTCTTAAAGGATTGTGGGAAAGGCAATGTTTCCCCAAAGATGGATTCCCAATCGCTCCGATTTGGCGAAAGTGGATGCTCCAAAGGGGGCAGTGGTAAGGTAGCCAAATAATAGGGCCGTGGGCAGCCCTAGCACCAATTATGATAACTGGAACTTAGTGCCAAAAGTGGCACGATATCGAAGAGAGGATGATGGTACCCTCAAGTAAAGAACTTCCTAGGATAGGGAAGTGGAGTTACACCATATGCAACGTAAGGTGTCGGAGACACCTAGGAAATTGATTCTGAGAAGTCAAAATTAAAAGTTCCAAAGTGCAAAGGTTATGTTAATGGAATCTGAGACAACTCAAGAATGAGTAGTGGAATTGAGTTAGAGAGGGTGTCTCTTACGGGTTTAGCGAGAACTAAACCAATAAAAGGGAGCAAACCACCCCAGGTGGCCGAATGAGTCTCTATGTTGGAGAGACTATGCCCCTTAGAGGATAGACAAAGCATGGTGAGCCTTCGAGGTCAAACCATAGACAAATATTAGCTATGTGCCAAGGATGGAAATGGTAATACCTGCGAGTGATACTTTATAAAAGAGTTTACAGTTCGATGAGGACATCGAACTTCGTCTATGGGTGGTGGAGTTGTGAGACACAAATCCCTAAGCCCCAAAGTGGAGACACAAAGTTGTGAGACACAAATCCTTTGAAGACATATGGGAAACTCACTCAAATTTCGAGCATCATCCCAGGAATGATATATGGGAATCACCATAAAGTCAAATCAATGGTACACATCATCCCCAAGATTTCTACAGAAGAACTCCGGCCGGATGCGAGGATTAGTAGCAAGAGTAGGAAGAGTTGTACCACACACTGTAAATACTACTATCAATTAAGTTTAATTGTTCAATTACAACTACATAACATCGAACATTGCACCAATTATTGCTCTAAAGTCAAAGAAGGAAGAGGCTACTACTTTGCGATGAAGATGAACAAAAAGGAAAGAGCAAAAAAGAAGAAATTGAGAAAAATAATAAGAAAAGAGATATCTGTGAGACACAAATCCCTAAGTCCCAAAGTGGAGCCGAAAGAGTGCCACGTGGTAGTGGCCGAAGCAAAAGCCAAACGAGTGTAACACGTTTGGACTAAAAGGCTCCAACTTGAAAGGTTGAGAGCGGGAGTGGAACTCCCAACCGAGTGCTCAAGGAACGAGCATGAAGCGAGCAATAAGCGAGGCTAAAAAAAGGGACCCAAAAGGACTAACACATGACACGTGGGAGTGTCTGAGATGGAGTCCGAGTTGGAGTCCAAGATGGAGTCCGAGATGGACCCGAGTTGGAGTCTGAGGTGGAGTCCGAGATGGAGTCCGAGATGGACCCAAGATGGAGTCCAAGATGGAGTCCGAGATGGACCCGAGATGGAGTCCGAGATGGACCGAGATGGAGTCCGAGATGGACCCGAGATGGAGTCCGAGATGGAGTCCGAGATGGACCGAGACGGAGTCCGAGATGGACCCGAGATGGAATCCGAGATGGAGTCCGAGAAGGACCCGAGATGGAGTCCGAGGTCAAGACCGAGACCGGGACTGAGACCGAGACCGGGACCAAGACCGAGACCGAGACCGAGACCGAGACTGGGACCGAGACCGAGACCGAGACCAAGTCCGAGTCCGAGTCCGAGTCCGAGTCTGAGTCCAAGTCCCAGTTCGAGTCTAAGAGGGTGAAAGCCCAAAGCGTTCATCTCCCAGACCCTTGGGGGTTTGGTGAGCTCCAAAAGTATAGTAAGGGGGAGGACTGCAATGGAGCCAGTTTGGCCAGGGAAGGCCAATTTGGCCCAAGAAGGCCAAACCTAGTGTTGGGTGAGGAACTGACCACTGGGAAGTCCAAGACTAGAGTGAATATGGACCGACAAGCAGGGTAGCTTGGTGAAGTGTTCAAGAGCCGGCTCTAGTTCCCCCTGGAGATCGACTGGCTGATGCTCCCAATTCAAGTGTGGGTGGCACTACCTACTTGGATACCTGGCGTGGCTCAACGGAACCTCGCTCTAAGCTCATGGTTAGAGCACCTAAAGGCGGAAGGTGGGGAGAGTACCCACGGGGCTCGTGTAGGGCCATGGTGTTCCGAAATGTTGTCCCAAAGTCCTAAACTGGGGAAAGTAGAAGGAGCAGTCCTCTAGTGTAGTGACTAAGGATATGGTCACATGGTGAGGAAGTCCCCGAGGACAATGGGACTTAGTGGCCAGGCCTACGGGCCTTGATCTAGTGGCAGTGTTGGCGAACATGGCCATGGACAGAAAAGGGACTTGGTAGGAACTGAAAAAGGGATATTAGGGAAGGGTATTCCCCATGTCTGTGGGCATCCTAAGGATGCTAAGGAGTGGATCTAGGATGACCACTCATGGACGGATGGCCCAGTCTTGGAGAGATGGGATTGTGATGCAAGTGGTATTGAACCACCAGTGTGGCAAAAGTGAATGGGCATGGCCTTAACGTAACAGGCCGATATGTTAATGGTACCTTTGGTTGTCGGTCATGGGACCAGACACGTGGAGCACTTGGACCAAGTGCAACGGTTGAGTGGCACGGATGCCATTCTTGGGGCTAGCAAGTCCCCGAGTCTGGAATAAAACTTATAGAGGTTGTGAGTGAGACTCTTCCAAGTGGTCGGAGGTGTGGTTATGTGACTAAAGTAGAATGGAAAAATTAGTCGCTTATAATATCTAGATAATGCAAAAGCTAGATTTAAACCAAAATCCCAAATTCTAGAACTCTTCAAGGACAATCAAATATGCCCTTCATTTCCACTAATATGAATGTATGGAATATGGAAAGAGAATTAAGAAATGTGCATATCAATTAACCCAAAAACTGTAGTTTATATATGGGAGCAAATGGTTCGGATTAAAACCAATCTGATGCTACCAAAATCCCACTATGCTAATATTAGTATACGATATAATAATTATATGCTTGGACCTCACATATTTAAATTAGGACATCACACTTAAACAAGAAACAAGAGGCACTTGTGAGAGCAATCGAAATACCATGCTTACATTAATGCTGCAATTAAATAAATCTTTGAGTTGTGAGAAAACATTAAATGAGAGGCAAATGGAGTGCCACAAAGGAGTAGAGAAATAGTCATAATCAAGAGATCATAAATTTAAGCTCAATGATACAAGAATGGAAAAAAAAACCTTTGAATTATTATTTAAGATGATGTGGCATTAGTCTTGGGTGGCAAAGTGAAGTGTGTCATGCCCATGCATATATGCATATCAAATATTATCTACACAATGACATTTCAATTGCTTATATAACAATCAAAAAGTGATTATATGCATAATATTTCTGCATACCAACTCCCCATGCACAATCATATTTGTTGCTATAGTTGGTCTAATTATAAGAAACTTTTACATGAAAAAGGACAAGAAGCTTAGTTTTATTTAAGAGAAAACAAATTCCACAAAAAGTTATTCTTTACAGCTATTTTATCTAGGGCACTTTTAAATGATCCAGCTCTGTCGACCTAGTATGACCAATCATGTCTCTACAAGTACAACATGATCTCTGTGGCCCGAGGACAAACAGGATTGAGGATGCTCAAGACCAGCTTGAGGGCAGCCTAGGGAAACGCTGCTCCTTGTTGTATATGCCAATTGATCCTCTATCCTTGGATCTCCACTTATCAGTGTGCCTCATTTAAAACCACAAGATCAATCTAAATACAATTATGCTAGTATATACTTTGAGTGATTAAGAAATATTTATAGTTTAAACACAAGCCTTAATAAAAAGGCAAACATGTATACAAAATTTAGCAATTAGGACATCAAACTTGTGCCAGTCACTTTGAAGAAGAGCATACTTTTTAGTCTCTGGCTTGAAAGAAAATCCTGCTTGTAGTTGGTGACTTGGTAAAGCAATCCTCACTATGGACTAATCACAATGATGTGTTTTAGCAGTGTAAACTGTAAGCTCAGTTTTGCTGTAGAAGTGCCATTCATTACGTGCGAACAAGAGTAAATGGTCTGCATATAAGAGATGTAAAGAAATAGAGTGAGGAAATACTAATCCCAAATTTTAAACCTGCAAACAACTTTTACCCAATCATAACGGCCGCCATTGGCCAGATCCGGGGGCAAGAAGATAAATAGATACCAATCTGTTACATAATACAAGTATATCTTGACAAGAGAGGGCAATTTACACTACGGCCGTTGTACTCTTGGGAACTCGAATGGTAAGCAAACCGTTCCGGAAAGACGCTCTAGCCTGCTTCATGTCAGCACGCAAGGGAAACCTAAACTTCCTTTGCTGGAAGACGTTGTCGCTGGTCTTAATGATGAGTTCCGGCCCTATATTATCCACAATAACTTCCTCTCGCGACATGCCTGCACAGTCGCAAAGCCAAAAGCTATTGAGAAAGCGTGAAAGTTTTCATACCTGGAATTTCGACACGAAGGATGTGGTGATGCTCATCATCTACCGAAGTTGCCTTTATGGGTTTGTTCTTGGCTACAGCAGAAAAGTAAAACAGGAAATGAGTAGAGGCAACAAAAAAAAAAGAAAAAAAAAAGAGAGAAAAACACGATACTCTTGTCCAACTTGGTCTCGTCAAGGTCCTCAATTGGTAATGTCAGAGCTGTCCCTTCGAGCTCACCGTCCCCCTGAGGCTTAACGCTGGCTGAGTCCACAATCACTTCCTCTCGCAACAGGGCTGCACGGTCGCAAAGCCAAGAACTATTAAGAAAGTGTGAAAGTTTTCAGGGACATACCTGGAACTTCGTGGTGATGCTCGTCATCTACTTTATTCTTGGCTACAGAAGAAAAGAAACAGGAAATTAGAGGCAAAAAGAACAAAAAAAGATCCATACTCTTGTCTAGCTTGGTCTCGTCAAAGTCCTCAACTGGCAATGCCGGCACTGTCCCTTCGAGTACAGCGTCCCCCTTGGGAAGGCGAATGGTGAGAATCTCATCCTGGAGATTAACTATTGCACCGTCGACATTAGCGTAAGGAGGAACGGCAAGCCTCTCGGGGCGGAACACGTCCTTCTCCGTGGTAACAAGCACACCCGGTCCATCTTTTGCAACATTCACTTGCACTTGATTCAGCGACGTGAGACCTGCGCAAGAAAAAAAAGAGATGACAACGTCTCCATCCAAATGACTTACCAGGTACTTGCACATCGACAGTATAGAACTGCTGGTTCTCAAACGATGACCACAATAGCTTCCGCTCGTCATATCCTGCAAGACACAGAAAAAAGAATACAAAACTCCAGGCAGGATCAACCATACCTTTATCAATGCTCTTGAGGCAGTTTAACAGCAGCTGGTAAGCGTGTTTCTTCTCAAAGTTGTAGAGAGCGACGAGTCCCCCGTGACGAGGGAACTGCGGCAGGCCCCCGGCATCAGCCACCTTCTGCGCCAACTCGAGGCTCCTGGCACACCTCGTCAAGTACTCCCTCCAGAAGATCTTTCTTGGAACAACCGGTGTAGCATATGATTCAGAGTGCTCCTGGATCAGAACGGAGAGGTTCGTGGACTGCAGACCAAAGAACTTGGGATAACACTCAGCGCCAAACAGACGCGCCTGCTCCTGCAGCTCGTGCACGTTTGGCTCCCCAGAGAAGACTTCCTTCTCGGCTCGGCAGGCAACAGTCCGGCAAAAGTCATGCACGAGGCGAGTTTCTTCCTTTGTGCGTTGATGGATGGGGGGCTCTCCATGCAAGCGGCACCTTGCATCCTCCGAGGCATTTTTCACAAGCTTGATCATGTGTGTATATGGGATGGGGTAGTCGCCTATGTCGTCAAGCCCGAGTGGTTTTTCAGCGGGTGGGGGGAATTCGCCGCTCACAATTTCGGTGTACTTGAGCATGTGGTCCAGGAGATGGCCCTCGAAGCAGACGGTGGTACTATCACAGTCGCCCACCGCCTTAAAGACTTGGCCGAGGACACGGTTGTTTAGGCGGAGCATCACCATCCACAGAAACTCTCCAAACTCTCTGTAGGCATCCTCCGTCAGTGGTTTGCTCACCTGAGAGAGCGTCTTTGCGCTTGCCGTGCGGATGCCGCTCCTACTACTCGCGCTTATCAACCGCCTGAACATTCTCTAGGGCCCTAGGGTTTTCTACAAGAATCGCCGAACATTTTGAGGTCGCAGGATCTGGCCAATGACAGCCGTCGGATGAGGGTTTTGAAATGTTAAGATCGAACAATAGACGGCACTGGGAGCTGCATTGATCGACAGCAAGTGAGAGCTCTTCTCCTCTCATATCTGGGGATCCGATTGGCAGAGGAGGATAATGTGGACATTCCTCTAGATCGCCTCGTGCTCAGTGTTTTTTGGAAAAAGTTTGTGTCCCTCTGGAAACTCAGGGTTCTCAGAGCTGGATGCTTTCCTTCTTGTGCATGGCAGCACAAACCTCTAAATATACCGCTTAATTCTTCTCTTAAGGCCTTGCCTACAAAACGAGCACGAATGGCGGAAAACTTTCTTCACTCCTGCGAACTTTGGTTTTGATTTTGCTGCTGCTGTTGCTGCGAAGAATTTTGATTCCGCTGGGCCTGACTCGCTGGGATTCCCAGGTTTTGGATCGCCGACTGGAGCGTCTCAGCGAAATCGAACGTAGCAGTGGCCCCTGACGCAAAGTTCTCGGCTGGAAATCCTCGGACCATGTTTGCAACTTCTGGAACCAAGTTCTCCAGTCCGGCACCGCCCTGCTGGATGCCTTGCATTACGCACTGTAGCAAGCCCGAGAGACCGTCCGGTTGGAACTCGGGAGGATTTGTCCTGGCCTCACTGCTGCCGTCTCTCCGGGCCTCTCTTTCGTGATCTTGTGGATGTTGTTCTTGTGTCTGTTCTTCGGCCGTGGCGCCACTGGCCGCCTGTGCGTCCGAGTTTCTTGCTGGCGACGAGTTTTCGCTATCACTTGTCTCGAATTGTGCAGTCACATTTACAACACATGCACCGGGCTGAAGAAGAAAAAATACGATTTGTTAGGCCACGATTAACAAGAACAGAGGTTCTCTCCCTTACCTCTTGATATTGGCTGCTTCCACGAAGCGCTTCAACAAGCTTTTGTCTCGCACTCTGAGATCAAATAATTTACACGAGATCGACCATCGTAGCAACGTACCTGAAGGTTATCACTTGCAGACGTGTTTGAGGGATCCACTTCTAAAGCTGGAGGAAACGAAAACAAGTTAGCACGATATGTAATCGGTTCTGTCGAGCTACCTTTAGTGAACCACTCAACTGCGTCAAGGTATCGTCCTTGAGAGTAATGGACAAGACCCAAGCGACTGTAAGCCTTGCTATATCGAGGATTTATCTCTATGGCCTTGTGGCAATCCGTAATAGCAGCGCCATGGTTTCCAGCTTGCGTGTGAGCAGCTGCTCTATAAAAACGAATAGAAAGGCTATACAAAAGTTGATCACGACTTGATACCTGTTCGCAAAATATATCGCATTGTTGCTGGATAGTGAAATCGCTAGAGTATACAGTTCAATAGCCTCAACATAACGATGACTGGCCATTGATCCGTTGCCTGTATCATGAGCAAAACTCGGTTGTTCGGTCACACGTAAGTTATTTCTTTACCTTGAGCTTTGAAAGCTTCAGCAAGCAGCTCAGACTCATCCTTACCCTTGTATGCCTGCAAAGAAACAAACAAGAACTTTCGAATTATCACCTCACACAGAAAAAGTAAAAGCATAGATACATTTATAGACTTTGAGATGGAAAGAAAAGCAACAAGAACCGCGGCAAACCTTGACAATAAATATTAGAGGTGCATGCCTTTAAAGTCTCTTGGAATGTAGATTCAGCTTGAGGTACACGGTTCTCGCTGGTGCCAGAGGAAAAAAATCCGGCACTCTCAAGACCTTCGACAAATTGCCGGTACACATTTTGAGAATCAAGCTCTGCATTATAGTAGAAAAGAAAAAAAAGAGATAAATGAAGATCGAAAGTTTGCACTCACCAGGAGTACTCGATTTCTTCAAGTCCGATTTCTGCCAAAGAGAGAGACTTTCAGCAACAAAAATGGAAAAAAGAAACTAGTAGCTTACTTCATGAGAGTGTGTCGACTGCGTAATAACGTCAACAAGCGAGACCTTCGATAATTTCTCACTGCCGCTGCGCAGGTCGAAAATCTCCGTCAAGCACTGCGCAGCAACCTCCAGCCCTTCGGAATCCACGCCATCGACAACTTCCACTGCAAGAGCCAAGAATTTCGAACAGATCGATCGATCGCGCTTGATCACAGCTCCCTCGCCGCTCACCTGAGCGCAAGAAATCGAGGAAGGATGCCACAATCCGCCTGGCTGCGACCGAATCACTCCGGAGACGCACCTGATCCTCCGCCATAACCCACAAACCTAAACGACAATGAGCGGGATCGACGGCGAGGATACTGCCAGGTGGGCGCCATCGCACCGTCGGAATCGTAGTGCCAAAGGTTTAGGGTCCGGACACTTTGTTATCGAATGGATCATTGTGGAGGAATTTCCCTGGGAAAATGTGCGTCGCATTAATCCCTAATCCATGGCTTCCAGCAAGAGGAGGAGCAGCCATCGCGATCGCGCATTGGAAGAGGCGACGGGTACGCTCATCGCTCTCGACTTCCGGCCGCTCACATCGGAGGAGATTGTAAGTTTGATGGATTGATGGATCGATTAGTCGTAGCAGAACAGCCTTCACTGCATAGGACCCGATCGACGAGCTGGAAATATTTCTTCCGGTCGCTAACGGCGACCGCGGTCGCTTTCGTTTCTTGATGTGTGTGCGCAGATCCGTGCCTCCGTGTACGAGGTCAAGACGGTCCGAGCCTTGCAAAACAATCGATTCGGGCTTCCAAACTTGAGCGATTGCTGTACTTCTTGCGGTGCCAAGCGAACGGATGCGTCCAATAGCGCTTGCCCCGGTAAGAACTCCACGGACAAAATCTCAGGGGAGTGAATGTGGATTGTTGTTTGAAACTTTTGCAGGCCATTCTGGTCACATTGAGCTGCCGGTGCTTGTTTATCACTGGGATCGCATCTCCGCTCTGGAAGCGATTTTAAATCGGGTTTGCCTCCATTGCTACAGCTTCAAGCACAAGGGCCGCAAAAAGGTCGCAAGAGAAAGCTCTTTTTTTTCTTATGCTTGTAAAGTGCCACTGATGGTTTTGCAGGAGCTTAGGACGTTAAGCAGCTTAGAGCAAGTGGCTTCTGGTGTTGATGCGCATCAAGCAGACATTGGAGCGGTCCCAAATGGCGCTCGGGTACGTTTTGTTTTTGTCTTGTTTTCTTACGAGGTCGCTTTCGATGCTGTTGCAGGCTCCTGAGGCCGAGGAAAATCCTGGAAAATGCACCGTATGCAGTGTGCGTGCTTTAGTGTTTTCTAATGCTCTTACTTTGTGAGTCACTCATGTTGCTTTGCCAGGGGCCAGCAGCGGCCGTGAAGAAAATTTTCAAGAAAGTGGGAACTGCTAATGTCCCAGCCCTCTTGCTGGAAATAGACGGCAAAGTTCGCCGCGAGGACATACCTCCGGGCTTTCAAAGTCTGATACTGAAAGACGAGATGACACCACAATGGAGGTCGAAGATGCTCGACCCGAATCAGGTAATCATTTACAAAAAATCAGCTTCAACGTAGCTAATGACTGATTGATAGGTCCTAAGAATTTTGAAATGCCTACCGCAAGAGACCATTGACAAACTTCGAGATGAAAAGTTACCTTCGATACCAGCAGAAGATTATTTTATAAAATCCTTGCCCGTGCCTCCAAACTGGATGCGCTACAGTACGAATGAGTTCTATTTCCAGGTAACTCTTCTTATGAATTTAAAATGACTGATTCTGATATTTCCGTGCAGGACAAGACAACAAAAAACCTGAAGCACCTGCTTACGAAAATCAAGTCCATTGTGTACACCCGTGATGAGGACAAAATATCTCTATTAACTGAACAAAAAGTCATGGAGATTCAAGCTGCTGCAACACAGTGCATTCGTGCAAATCCAGTAAGCTTCTCTTTTCTCCCAAGCTAATCTTACCTTTTCTGCATGAATTAGCTGTACGGCAACGTTTCAGACGAGGATCCCCGGTATGGCAACGTGTCAGATGAAAGCAAGCCTTTGTCCGGGTTGCATTTTCTTCGAAGTCTAACAGGCAAATACTGTGGGTCTTCTGCTCGAGCCGTGGTGATTGGTGATCCTGCTCTTAAGCTCGAGGAAATTGGAATTTCTGCTAGAATTGCCGCTGGTTTGGTTGTTCTGGAGACGGTCACAAGTTCCAACATAATCTTTCTGCAAAGCTACGCTTACAACAATCCCGGCCTTAAAGTAGTCAGAGGTGGTGAAGTATGCACAGCTAGAAGCTGCAAAAAGTTACAGGTAGGAGACGTTATACACAGGAGCTTGAAAGACGGGGATCAAGTTTTTGTTAACAGGCCACCGACGTTTCACAAGCATGCTTTGATAGGCCTCAAGTCGAAAGTCATCCGCAACAATGTTTTTGCTGTGAACCCGCTCATCTGTCCTCCTCTGTTTGCCGACTTCGATGGAGATACGTTGGCTTTATACTTGCCACAATCACTCCAAGTGAGAGCGGAGGTCGCAGAGTTGGTGGCACTTCCAAAACAATTGGTTTCGTCTCAAGGTGGGCAATCTATTATCGGGCTGACACAGGATGCACTTCTAGGGGCACACCTTATGACACGCAAGAATGTCTTTTTAGATAAACTTGACATGGACCAGCTGCGGATGTGGTGTCCCTCAGCAGAAGTTCCTGTTCCGGCAATTGTTAAATCACCGAGAAAGAGTCCATTGTGGACCGGCCAACAACTCTTTCAGATGACATTGCCAACGACTTTCGATTGGGAAAGCGACGATGGCGGGCTCATTATTCGACAGGGTGAGATTTTGAGAACGTCTGATAAGTCTTCGGCATGGCTTGGCAAGGATGGCCTGATGACTACCATTTGCAGAAGATATGGCCCCGATAGAGCTTTGGAGCACCTAGATATAGCTCAGGGAATTGCCGTGGACTGGATATCGGAAAGAGGATTCAGTGTTGGTTTATGTGACTTCTACATGGCTGCTGACGCGGTATCTAGAAGGAAGCTCGAGGAAGAAACTTTGTGTGCCGTGGAGGAAGCAAAGATCTCGTCTTTGGCACATCAGATTGTCTCCGACCCGCGCTTTCAAGTTAACAGTGTCAGCAGACCACGGTGCAACAGCTGGAACGAGCGCGTGCAGCCAGTTACGTCCGTTAACGAAGCGACACAGCAAGCTGCGATCTCTGCTTTCCAGTCCACCATGAAAGCTTTTGAGAGGACTATAGAGGAGCATGTCCGCGAGAACAGCAGGGAGAATTCGCTGCTCAGGATGGTCGAAGCAAACAGCAAGGGTTCTTTTTCGAAAATGATGCAACAAGGGGGTTGCCTGGGGCTGCAGCTACGTCAAGGCGAGTTTGTATACCACCGTGTCAAGTCACTATTCCCTCGAGCTGTTGAGAACGAGTCAAGGGGCTACCTCACTTCTTCCGAGCTATGGAAATCAATGGGCCTGGTGGAAAGCTCCTTTCTTGACGGCCTGGACCCGCGCGAGTTTTTCATCCATTCTCTTTCTTCGAGGAAAGGAAATGATGGCAGCCAGCAGCGGTGCGCGTCGTTCTTCAGATTTCTTATGAGCTATATGAAGGACATTCGCGTCGAGTATGACAACACTATCAGGTCCACGCACGGGGGTCATATTTTTCAGTTTTCTTATGGAGCTACTGCTGAACCAGGAGAACCAGTGGGACTTTTAGCTGGGACTGCGGTCATAGAACCTGTTTACGATCAGGTGATGAGTTCGTCACCACAGGCTTCTACGATGCTGAAAACACTGCAGGTTAGCTTCTGTTGCTTTTCTCCTTGGTGTGTGCGTGACTTCTATTTTCCAAACTTTCCAGAACATACTGTTCTCAAATTCGTTCAAAGACATCGATCGGTGTGTCACTCTTAAACTTCAGAAGCTTCCGGTTCAACCGGAGTGGATAGCATTGCAAGTGCAAGATTTTCTAAAGCCGGTCACTATTGGGATGCTGGCTTCCAAGATTTGGATTGAGTAAGCTAGCTTCTGTAAATTATTGTTCTTACTGTCACGCTTTTGCAGATACAGTCCCTGCAGCGAAGTTGGCGGGCAGAAGAAAAGAGTGCCATGGATTGGGTGCTTCCAGTTGCGAGCGGTTAATTTCCTCATATCTATTATTCTTTTCCTTAACAATGTGTTACATTTTCAGGAAGCAATGGAAAGGTGCAGTTTGAACATTGACACAATTGTGTGTCACCTTCGCAAGCTGCTCCCAACTAGCTTAGATGATCCGGATGCTTTTATTCAAGGGCTACATTTCTTTTCGAGGTAAGGATTTTCTTACGAGATATAGTTTACTTATAGATAAGTTTAGGGATGTTGAAGTGTTATGCTTCTTCCCAATCACTTCTTCTGTGAGCAACTATGATAGCAAGCAGATACACAAGCACATGATAGGAACAATGTTTGGAAATTTGCTTCAAGTTGTCGTGAAAGGTAGATTAGTGTTATAACGTCTTCTAAGTTGAGATGGTATTGGTTTCAGGATGTCCACGAGGAATAGAGTTTGTAAATGTAAAATGGGAAGACGAGCTATGCATCGAAGTTGCTTTCTTGTCAAGAACCCGAGGCGTTCCATGGACTCATGCATTAGAGGCGTGCGGTTCGATTTCACATTTGGTGGACTGGCAAAAGTCTACCCCACTCAGCATACAAGAAGTGCACGTCGCTTTTGGAATTGAGGCAGCATACCAGTACTTATTGGAGGTAATGAGCTCAAAAGTTTGGATATAGCATTGATTATTTTGGCTTTGTGCAGAAACTAAAAGAATTTACGAAAGGTTGTGAGCGGATTATAAACATAGAGCATCTGATACTCATAGCAGATGTCGCTTGCCATTCAGGTTCTGTGAATGGTTTTATAGCTGGTGTGCTAAGAAAACCGTGGAAGAATATCGATGCTAATGAAAGCGGATATGAGGCATTTGTAAAGAATTTGTCCGGCTGTTCACCCTTGGCTTTTGCAATGGGAAAAGTAAGTAGTTCTCCTGAAAAGAATTTTTTATGTCTTGTTATCAAAACCTTTCTTGATCTAGTCCCCAGGAGGTGTGTTTGAAGCTGCTGCGATGAATCGAGAGGTGGATTATTTGGCTGGTGCAAATGAATTGGCATTTTGTGGCAAGAGTCCCAGTCTTGGAACAGGAGCCAACATTGAGCTTTTCTTCAAAGAGGTGACTGGCATTGACAAAATCTCAATATTAACATGCATTTACAGGATAAGGGACCTGTTTCACGGTTTCCAGACTTCGAATCACTAGTTTTTTCGAGAAGAGTTGTTGACGACACTGTGTCGGCCACGCTCAGCGCAAAGGACAGAGAAATTGTCTGGGCAAGGATAGATCAACGCTCTCAAAAGCTGCATGACATATTAAGAAAAAGGTGTGTGGTTGTGTTTTGGACTAAGGAGACGATGACTAGAATGCATGTGCTTTTAGTTTGACAGGAACTCCGGTTTCAGCAGCAAATGAAGCTGTAATCTTAGATACTTTGAAGTATCACCCAATGATGGACAGTAAAGTGGGGTGTGGTGTCAGGCATATAAGAGTAAGTTCCCGAAGTTTCCTTTTTATTTATTGGTTTTCTTGCCAGGTTGATAATCATCACAGCTTTGGCGGTCGATGCTTTCATATTGTTCGACTGGATGGAAGTGTAGAGGACTTTTCTTATCACAAGTGCCTGCTAGAAAGAATCAAGGGCAATACGGTCTTGGTTCAAAGGTACAAGAAGAAGTTTATGGGAGGAAAGAATGGACGCAAGGAGGAGGTTCCAGTCGAGATTTTCTCACAGAAAAACGACACAGGTCTCAAGTCTTTTTTACAACCAAAAGTGAATGAAGAGGAGGGGTTTATGGATGTTATTGGCAAGCTCTGTTCTTTAAAAATATCTTGAAGGTAGAATGTATGACAAGAAAACCCATGGGTTTTTACTGGTAAGTCTTGCAGGAAGTCCTGCCTTTCGTCTGTGTTTTATACTTTCAGTGGAGAGACTAAGCTCCACTTAACACCACCTTTATATTTTGATTCTAACTTTATTACATTTTAGTCCTACATTGCTTCCAGGTTGAGAATCATTTCGTCCCAGTAAAAACACTCAAAAAAACTTGAGAAATTTGTGAAAAGAGAAAAGTACAACCACAATTGATCACTTAGCAAATGTAATCAATAGAAAGTATTTTTAGTCTCTTTCTTACAAAAGTGTGTGATAATGGGACAATTACACTTTATCTAGCACTTTAGAACCCCCATCTTGCCAATTCTAGGGTGGGTTGTGGTTGGCCAATAGAAATATAATGGCCCCAAGCTATCCCCTCCTCTCTAAGCAGACTTCATCATCTTCTCTTGTGTGGGATTCCTCTTGAGAAGCATAAGAAGCTCAACTTGATCAGTTGGTCTTCCGGCTAATAAATGAATTGGGTAGCCTTGGATTTGATTGGCCTCCTTTGCTGTAGCCACTTCTACACTTCTTCTTGTCAAAGCGGGCCACTTGGCAGATTTAGGATACTCTGGACACATGGGCAAATGTGGTGAGTTTAATTGTTCGACACACCTGGGTGGGATATGCTTTACATGCAACAAGCACCTACTGGTTAGAGATGACGCCATGGCATGCAAGAGTGGAAGAGGTAGTTTCTTGGGTGTGTGTGCTTGGTGTTGGCACTTTTGATACATCAACTGGGAGCTACATTTGTGAGCAGCAAAGCTGAGGAAGGAAGGCCAGACTTCAATAGCAGAGCAGTAGCTCGTGTATGTGTAGCTATAAACTATAGCAGGAACAGGCAAAAAAAGCCCTCAAAGATTTTCTTAAGAGGGAGAAAAGAGAAAAAGAAAAAAAAGATAAAGTAGATGAATTCATTCATTATACAAACTCTAGTTCAAAGGTAATACCATCAAAATCAGTTGAAGAGATAGAGAGACTTATCAAAGGGTGGGGACTTTTCTAAAGCTTGCCATCATCTTTATAGCAACAACAACCACCATTACAGTCATGACCAATGGCATAACAAGCTTCAGCAACAACAAGTCAGATGAAGTACCCCAGTTATATAACAGTTAATGACTCGGATAAGCATGTGATGATTTTTGAGAATATGAGTATAACAAAAAATGAGCAAACTTTGCGCCAAAGATTTTTCTTAGCAATGTTGAAAGATGTTGCTGTTGAGTAGTATGCTGTAGAAGTGGCATGAGCAGCTTTTGCAAACTGGGATGCCTTGAAGAAAGCATTTTTAAATGCTTTCAAACCTATAAGATTTCATTAAAGAGTAAGTGACGAGTTCAACACAATCACCTTACAGCCAGGAGAAACTATACAAACGTGCATAATGAGGTTCTAAAGGTTGTTATCAAAGAAGGATCTAACTCCTATAATAGACGATAAGTGAGATATTTTTGGCAAAGCTTAAGAATGCTTCTTTTATGTGTGGTGTCATGAACTGGCGAATTTGAATGTAACTGTAACTTTGGCTTCACATTTTGAGCAAACAAGGCTACTAACTTGGCAAAGACAACGTCAAACATCTATTGTTGGTGGAGGAGCTATACAGTTAGTGGGATTAGATTATTTATACTTGAGAGTAGTACCTAGACCTATGAATCTAGTAGCAACAGCTCAAACTTTGATTCTAGCAATAATAGTATCCAGCCTCAAGTTGTATTTAGTAGAAGTGTTGACAAAGAAGATGGGAGATATGCAACTTAACTAAATACAAGGTGCTCAAAATCAGCCATAACTAGTGAAAAAACATCAAAATGTTTGGTGTGTGAAGTGTAAGAATTATAGTCACTATCCCAATAAGTATCATGTGCAACAAAGAAGACCAGCTTGCTAGTACTATAGATGACACACTCATGCATCAGAAAATTATTTTTATCAACTAAGAAGGCAAGTAGTGGTAACACCTTCTTTCCAACAGCAATAGTTTTATATGCAGCATGTACCACCATTTGTAGGCTTCTAACAGACACAAGTATCTATGGTCCTAAGTTATCACTTTTAGATGCAAGCTCCTGTTCAATATTGGCCACAAAATCCTTATGATCAAAGAGATATGTTGCAACAATATGCCATGCAGCAATCAAGCATTCCAGTATATGCTATGACAATTATGCCGCAGCAGTAGTTTCAAGGGATGGGCATTGGATGAGATCAAGGATGTGGAAGAGGGCCACAATGCTATCGTTGCAAAGAATTTGGCTATATCAAGCAAATTGCCCGAATGTGAAGAAACCAAAAAATTATTAGCTGATGTGTAGAATTTGTGATACTCAAGGTTTTCATCCTCAAGAGCAGTATCCTCACAAGCTACAGCAAGACTGTGACAAACAAGTGGTGGACTTGCAAGCTGTATTTGTTCAATCTATGGACTTGGATAGGATTTTCTACAAGCTGCCCATTTGGATAGTTCAGACTCAGAGCTAGGTGCATGACTAGGACAAAGATATTTACACAGATCCAGATGATGAAATTGATCCTGAAAGAATTGCAAATGCCAAGTTGCGAGAGAAAAACAAAAGGAAGAATTCAAAGTTAGCTCTTCTCAATGATTTGAAGGGATTGGAAGTAGTAGAAACTCTATTATATCCAACCATGGTTCTTCAAAAGGTGGGCATTTCTTCCCTTGAGCAGGTGGGCAAGGCATTTGAGCTATAGGGTGAAGCCATTAAAGTTTGATAAAAGGCAAAATGCTAATACAAGTGCTAAATTTGGAAGTTGCTCCTTACAACATTCTCAAGGACCTTGATAATCAAAACCCAACAATCATCTTTGTGTAACTCCTTCAGTTAGCTCCTAGGCTTAGAAAAGTGGCAATAAGAGCTCGTAAAAACGTTGTAGTTAATTCAGCTTGGCTAATGACCACAGATATGTTAGCTTTAGTGATAGATTTGGACTTGGCTAGGCAGCAGATCAAGAATTGTGCACTAGATGGAGGTAGTGGGGTGAATATTATTCTTGACAAGATGGCGTATCAACTCAACTTAGGAGTGCTAGTTCCAGTTCCTTTTCATGTTCATATAGTAGATCAGAGGAGAGTCAAGCCACTAGATGTGCTCATAGGAATTTAGGTGGTGAGAGCAGACATTTGGTTTGTGTGGATTTTGTGGTTCTCTAGATAAGTATGAGCAAGTTAATTTACCCACTTCTTCTAAGTTGACTATAGTGCATGTGATCATGGGATGAGATTTAGATATATTGTCACCGTGGATCCTTGGAACTTTGGGGGATAAATGGGGATAAAATAGCCACTAAGGGCTGTCTCATCAAACAATTGCCCCTTTTCCAATTGGTTTAAGGGGAGCGAGATAACGTGTGTTACATGTGGTATTGGAGCAAATGGCACGGGTTCGATTAGTGGCTATTTAAAAATATAATATACCCTTGAACAAGGTATATTCCTACCCCTAAATTTGAAATCGTACGTATTAAACATCCATGCATACATCCTTCCTCTTGTGTGGAGTATCCATGGACAAAGGTATCCACCGTGGAATTGTGGTATGGGTGGATGATTAGTTGCCTCACATGGAATAGCTGGTCTATACAATGGAAGGATTGTGTGGAGTATCCACGGACGAAGATATCCACCGTAGAACTGTGGTACAAGTGGATGATTAGTTGCCTCACATGGAATAGTTGGTCTACACAATGGAAGGATAAAAAGGTTCCCCTTGGCTCAATAAAGGTTGTTAGTCAATAGCAAATGAAGACATTGACATCTTTGAAGGGGGGGTGAGTGTAGTGCATGTGATCATGGGATAAAATTTGGATATATTGTCACTATGGATCCTTGGAACTTTGGGGGATAAATGGGGATAAAATAGCCACTAATGGCTCTCTCATTAAGCAATTGCCTCTTTTCCAATTAATACAAGCTGACACTATGAGTTATTGGTGAAGGGGATTGATGTGGATAACTAATGGAAATGTCAAGAGGAAAGTCCGAGTGAGTATTCGTGCGGGAGTTCCAAAATCAACTTGACCTGAGGATATAGTGGATCTTGCCCTAGTGCCATGTGAATTAGACATGCCTTCAATTGTTTCTAGGGTTTAGATGGTATAAGCATAGTTGTGTACATGGTTGTCAAAGAGCTAGAAGTGACTAAAGATCCATGATTAATTAGTTGATGACTAGCAATAATCCTACTAGCATTTATGGAAAAGAGGAAAAAAGAGGATGCTTTTTGGGAAGAGTGTGATGGAGTTCAACAAAGAGTGCTAATGCTACTAATGAGGCTAGTGTCACAAAGGTAGATAGCTGTGACAACAATTAGAATTGGAGTGAGGAGGCTCTAGCCCTAGACTGTAGTGGTTCTTCCATGCTAAATTGTGTGAGTTTTACTCCACAATGGCAAATCCACTCATATGCTGCAGCCTTACACCCCTCAAAATGTAATTCCCCTCCATAAAACCAAAAACTAAGGGGGAGCAATTCAACTCTTGCTTTTCTTCATTCTACAACAAGGGATTAAACAGCTTTGACACCTCACTTCCCATTGATTTGATTGCTTGCATAATATGTTTATTGGATGTTTGATACTTTGTGAGTGGAGAGGAGAACACTTAGAGCATGTCATAAGGCAACAAGGGAGAAGGAACCAATGGGACAAAATAGGTCTAACAAAGAAACATATAGATTTTTATAAGCACTTTTCCAAACCATAAACATAAATTAACTCAAATTAATAATAAAATTTTATATAAAGCATATTTTAAGTAAATCTTATACCATATTTACTTAGCCAACCAAAAACTTATGATTTATTATTCTATAGTTCAAATGTGTACTTTAAATCTACAATACTAAGACATAGTTTTGATTAGTAGTAGTAATAGTATTACATGCATAAACAAGTGGTATTTTAATTTTGACTATATTTTCCACAGCTTTTATGGACTATTGACCAATGGAATATTAAGTCTAATAGACCTACTCATTTTTCAATAGTCCACTCAAAATATTCATTAACAAA